CCACTTGCACCAGAGCTCCCGGCTGGGGGGCCAGTAGGGCTCAGATCAGCGTGTGTGGGCGCTCATGGGTGTGTATGCACGCTTGTGAGTGTGTGTGTGAGAAAGCAGGGGTCAGTCTGCTCAGATCTTAAAATTGGCATTTAAAAAATTCTCCACAAAAAGCCAGAAGAGAGGAGGCGGCTATTTTTCACTATGCCTTTAGGTGGTTGTAGATGCTATCTTCCAGGGAAAGGGCTTTCCTGGCCCCGGGGCCCCAGGTGAGCCCCAGCTCTCGGGTGCTGAGGTCAGCATGGTAGGCAGGGCCTTTCTGAGGGTGGGTCTGGGCCCTCCCGGCAGAGCCCGGGACCACTGCAGCCCAGGGAAGACCACAAGTAAAGGTTATGAAATGTGAGCAAAGGGAAGGACACATTCACTACATATGAATTTAAAACTACTATCTATAAAAATCACATGCCTCTACTCAAATTAAGAGTCAATAAATGGCCCAGACCTTTGGCATATGGACAGCCCCACAAACTGAACGAGGACCCAGACCAGTCTCAGCAGATGCGTAGCTCGTAAACCAGCACACCGGAACATTCCAACTCCACCGTCAAGAAGACAAAGTCGAACGTCTATGAGAAGACTTTCCTACTGATTAAAGCTGTAAAGAGGCAGAGAGCCCTTGATGTGTCTGTTTGAGACTTGCACCCCTCTGCACCTGGGCAGGGAGCATGGCCCTCAGACCCTTCTGGCTGCATCACCGTGGGGACCCACCGCCCACCCACCTGCTCCCTCTGCTCTTCCTTCACTGGGTCAGGTGGGAATTCTCCATGCCCTCTCACTGCCCTCATCCATCCCAGGAAAGCACCACATGCCTGCCCACATGTCTACCTCAGCTCCTCCACCTCTCCCCATTTTTCTGAATCGTTAACCTTTCCCCCCCTGCTCGTCCTTTAGGACAGCTGTTGGATATGCTTGAGTACCTTTTCCGTCTCAGTAGGACCCTTCTCAGACAGCACACCTTCCTTCTACCTCTTTGACCTTTCCTGCACCTCCCTCTCGTCCCCTTTCCCGCTCCTCCTTCAATCTCAGGGTTTCCTCTAGCTTAGCTGTCTTGCAGACCCCATCCCTGGCTCCATCCTGGGTTCTCCTCCCTGGATTCTTCCCTCAGACTCAAGGCCTTCCCTGAGCCAGACCACTTGGTTCAGCTGTGTGCGTGTGCATTCACTCACCAACCCCAGCTGACCACTCCTTTAGCCAGTCAGTGGACTGGTGCTTTGCAAAGTGCCGAAAATGTAATGACCTTAATGAGAGCACTGAGGTGCAGAGGGCCTGAACACATCAGCAGGGGCCACGGACACTTCAAACTCACATGAGCATTTCCCTACCTGCTCCTGTTCAGCTGTGTTCTGGGTTTTATGTTTTTTTCTCTGGCGCCTGAACCTGAGTTGCCCTAGACCCCCATTGCTGCCACCTTCGCCCCAACCCGGTCACTGCTAAGTCTGCCCCTTCACATCCCCCCCCCCCACTTCTCCCTGGATCAAACCACCTTGAATTTCCTCCTATGTCTTTGTGCATCAAAAGCCTCCTCCAGGCTCCCTGCCTCAACCTGCATCTGTGAACCCATCTGCCCTTGCAACCAAATGAGTTTTTAAACAGACACCCAAACAGGCACTCTCCCTCTTAAACTCTGCAGTGGCTCCCTATAGAAACTGCCCTGTCCTTCCCCCTCTCAAGCACCCCCTCCCTCCATCCCATTTCTGCCCCTAGAACCTCTGAGCTTCCTGTGGGCATCCGCTGTCCTCTGTATGTTGCTGGGTGATCCGTCCTCCTCCTGGGTGCTGGGGGGGCCGGAGCCTTGGAGTTGGGTGGTGTCTTCCCTGCCTAACCCCCTGGCAGAGTCTGTGGAAGATGAGTCCAAGAGACCAGGGGCGCGGCTGATGCCCCCTCTCCTCCTGGAGCCCGGTGCAGTGCTTGGTGCACATGCTGAAGCCTTGACCCTCCCTGTGGGAGTGAGCAAACCTCTAATATCAGGACTCTGACCTCTGGGAACCTGGCTAAGGATAGCACCCTAAATTAAAACCTCTGTACACATTCTTGTTTAAAACATTGAAAGCATAAAAATAATCTAAATTTTGACCAACTAAAGGTATATTTAGTTAATTGAAATAGTGGGCAGATATGAAAAAAAGTAGTATGGAAAATAGTTGTGCTATTATGGGAAAACAAATATGCAGAACCTATGCGAGAAACTAGGTGTTGAAAAAGAGTGAACTTGAAGAAGGCTAACAGTCTCTGTTTCTCTTCCTGTTTTCCTGCACAAACATGTCTTCATTGTTTCAAGTATTATAGGTGCTTATTAGAGACCCCCAAATGCAAATAGAAGCATCCACAGAAAAACTAAAAATAAAAAAACAAAGACATTACTTAAATGCAAGCAAAAAAGGGTATTTGACCACAATAGAAGAACCCGTCTTAGGACTCTGATGAGGCGTCCACAAACTTGCCCTCTAGACAGGCTGAGAACAGTGCTCTGGCAAGTCAGTACTCATTACCATTTTTATAAACACTATACAAAATAGAATTTTTCTTTTTAAAGTATTACTTTTCCATTATAAAGAGCCCACGGTCATTATGGAAATTGTGGAAGCTGCAGAAAAGAGAAGGAAGGAAAAAAAAAAAGTTCTTATATCAATTCAAAGACAACTCTTGCTGATATTTTGGTGTATTTTTTTTCCCAGTCTTTCTCTATATGGGTTTTTATTTTATTTTGTTTGCAACCAGAGAGAGATCGGGGGACCCAGTGAGGAATTTAAGGCAATTTAAGGCCCCTTTAATCAAAGCAAAGTAGCCCACGTCACTGTGAAATGAGCTGTGTGCAATGGAAGATGGTCTTCGCACATGAGTCTCTAGTTATGAAACAGACCAACAAATACATGACTCAGAAATGTTTGAGCAGCAAGAAAAAGGAGGAAAACGTAGATCTGAAAATAAACAATAAGGTACAACAAACACACGGGATTCTATATTCTACGTATAGAGAACACCACTCTTTTTGGATGTCAATGAAAATATTTCAACAATAGATCGTGTAGTAGGTGTGACTCAAAGCATCCAGCTCTAAGAGAAAACCCCAGGGACGTGGGTCTGATCAATCAGGATGGGGGGAGTCAACCTGGCTTGGCTGCTACAAGGCTACTTGGAGGACAACAGGCTCCTTCCCTTGGTCCTGTGACCTGGGTCCTTGGCCTTTGTCCTCATGACTGCCTGAGGGCTGCTGTATCTTCCAGCATTGTGCTCAATTTCGGGCAGGAGGAAGAGCAAGGGCAAAGGGGCAGGCAGCTGGTCTTGCAAAAGCCCCACAGAATGCTGTAGTGAGGAGTGGGTAGGAGAGAGGCAGTGGGGGAGGAAAAGCCCGTGCGAAGTCCAAACTCAAGACCTCCCTGAACCATTACCGGAAGGATGAGAAACAGGAACATTTACCTGCTGGCTCCTGGCCCCCATAGGTGGAGGGCTGCCCCAGGAGTGTGCACCTTCTGCCGTTCAGAGCCGCTCATAGGCAGGCTGAGAGCAGAGTGAAGAAGCAAGTCCTCTTAGGATCGCCCAGCCAGCCACAGCAGAGGTCAGAAGTTATGCCTCCAACTTTGGATTCTTTAAAGCTGAGCAGTGTTTCTGACCTCCTCAAAGGAGGCACAGAGAGCAAAACCCATGACCAGGGAGCATGTGGGAAGACCCTCCTCCACCCCCCAAGCAGGGATCCAAGGCCACCCCCCTAGGGTGAGGAAGTAAGTGGCACCCCCTCTGAAGAGGGGATATTAAGGAACACTGTCTTGGTGCTGAACAGAGCAGGGGTACCAGGCTCCTCACCCCTGAAACCACCGCCGTGAGCGGGCCTCACCTGGTTTGCAGGTGTGGACACAGGTGTGGTGGGACCTGTCCAGGTGCGGGTGGGACAGGAGTTGATATATAGTATGGAAGCGCTCCCTGCGTGCGCCCCACCTCCACTGCCTGGGTCATGTTCTGTGGAATTGGCATACAACCCAGCAGACAGGTCCTGTCTCACATCCAGGCTCCTGTCCTGAGGTAGCACCCACTGAATCCAAAGTCAGCTGCACTGAGTACTGCTCCCTCATACCTGTGAATGAAGTCCTTTTATACACAGAACTTGGCAGAGAAGAGGATTAAACAATTTACCCTAAAAGCTGTCTCAGCCATCATTTGAGTTGATGGCAAAAAGGGGAAACCTGGGTTTTATTTTTTATTTCCTTTGTGCAGATTTGGAGCAGTTGGCCCCTGGCACATAGGGGTCTGGTGCCTGCCCTGTGCCAAGCCCCACCTCCACAGAACCCCACTCATGCCCAGTGGGCCCATCACTCCTTGGCCTTCATCTACACAGAACAGGCTAACCCTGGAGTGCATGACCTGCCTGCGCTCTTTTTGGGGCATACTGCATTAGGTTGACATGCGCTTGTGGTCAGCAGAGGGGCATGGAGGAAGCTCCTGGGAAGGGGAGCAGAATGAGCAGGCTCAGCACAACCAGCCACCAGGACCCTGCCCTGTCCTTTCTCAGGGACTCCACGTAGGGATTGGTCTGTGCAGCTCACATGGGGAGGTATCCCACGGTAGGTGACTTGTCCAATCGGGGTGGCAAAGGAGAAGGAGGAGGTCATGCTGTTCAGACACGGCTCCTCCCCAGGCATGCACATCCCCTCCCCACCAAGGGTGGCAGGATGGGCACAGGTGGACCCTCAGGGCTGTGCCTCATGTCTACCCCAAACACAGCACATTACACTGAACCCTCTGGCAGGGACCCACTGAACCTGGATGGCAGGGACCATTCCTCTCCCCGACAGCCCTCATTTGCTGGGATTAGGAGGGTGGGGGTTAGTACTTAATTTCCTTCTGTATCAGTTAGCATTTTGTGGTCACAACCAAACTATAAAAACTGACTCTGGATAACTTTTTTTTTTTTTTAATTTTAGGTTGGTGTATATATAGGAAACCAAATATAATTGGTATAACTTAAAAAAAATATTTTATTTATTTATTTGACAGAGAGAGCGAGAGAGCACAAGCAGGGGGAGTGGGAGAGGGGGAAGCAGGCTCCCCGTGGAGCAGGGAGCCGGATGCGGGTTCTATCCCTCCAGGTCTGAGGAGCGCTGCAGTTCCCACCGGGCATTGGGTGTTCCCTGGGGAGGGCAGGCTCTGGGCACCACGTTGTTACAGTATTTGCAAAGTGATGTGGAGAGGTTTCTGCTCTTGTTGTGGAGTCTTGGGCCAGGCCACCCCCCCAACTGTTCTCTCCAGGGCCCGACTTTCCTGTCGGCTCAAATGGCACCTCAGACCCCTCTTTCTCCCTTGGGTCCCTTTCTTCTGAGACCACTTGAAGAGAGAGACTCAGCTCTCCCTCCTTGCTGTGGGGGGTGTGGGGCTGCCAGGAAAATGCAGTTTGTGCTGGGGGGGGGTGTCACACCTTGCCCCTGTGGCTGTGACCACTCAGAGGGGGGACCTGCACACACAAGCCGAGGAGGCTGAGGGCGAGGCATAAGTAAAGGCAGACCTCCCTCTGTTATTGCGAACCCTGCACCAGGCCTGAAGTCAAGGAGGTGACAGGACACATCAGACCCTTGAAAGGCAGGGTCAGGGTGCAACAAGGTAAAGCCATGATTAAAACATGATTTGCATGAGCACAGAGAACTCAGCCTGGGAGTGCAGGCATTGCCTGGGCTGCTCTAACAAGTACATGGTTCAGGGAAGAGGCAAATGAGCATTATTCCATGGAAACATCCCCTTTGCTCCCCCTTCTGGTCACTTGGGGGACAGCCGAGCATGTGAGCAAGGGGGGGGGGGAGTGCTGGAGGGGGAGGGGTGGTCTCTCTGCAGGTGCGGCCCCTCTGCCCGCCACTCTTCCTTCCTAATGCACCTGAAGGGAAGCAGCAGCGCCAGGGTGCGCGTTCTGTCCATTCCAAACCCACAGAGCTCCTCCCAGAGGAGACTGGGCTGCCGGAGGAAGTCGCTCTGTGGGAATGGAAAGCCACCAGTCTGGTGAATGGATGAATCTTAACTCACAGGAAAAGGGGCTGTTTTTTAAATAGCAGCAGAGAAGAAAGGGAAGTGCAGGGACATTGCAGACAGCATCTGGGGCCACGACAAGTGTGTGTATGTGTGCACGTCTCTCAGCATGTATGCGTGCATGTGTGCAAGTGCGTGTGCACACAAGTGACTGGATGAGGAGCAGCTGAAATGCTGAGAGACAAGTATTTCTGCTTCCAAAAGCCCTCACAGCAAAACCAAAAGTGGGTTGAGAGGGTGAGAGAGTCTGCTCCTCTCGCAAGCCTTGGAGGCAGAGGGTGGGTTTCAACACCCCTCCTCAGATCTCAGCCAACGGCGAAGCATCCCTGATGTGTTCAGTGATTTCTGCACCGCCTCTCCCCCAGGGATCATGCTTTTGGAGGACCTGCACTCTTCCTTTGTGGCATTTATCAGCGAAATTCTCCTTTCTCTTGAAGGATATAACACACACGTGACAACCTAAGTGTGTAGCTTTATACCCATGTACGGACCATGCTTCCACCCTCCCATCAAGTTAGAGAACATTTGGATCCCCCATTGTCCCTTCTCAGGCAACAGCCACATGCCTCCACACCCCCACCCAGGAGCAAGGGGCCCCTAACACGCCGGGGTTCCACCTGTCTGCGATCTCAGGGTTGACGCCCATACCCTTTGCTAGACAAGAAGTGCACGGGAACAGGGATGGGTCCCCCCCGATGATCTGGGCCCCAGCACCATGCACAGCACTTGGTGCCGAGCAAACTTGGCCCGAGGGGGCCTGGAGCAGCCCGTGCCTGGTGCTACGCATGGGTGTCAGCGCTGGTGTGGTTCTTGCTGAGTGTTTGGTCTTTGGAGGTCATGCACAGACGGTGTGCCCGCTCCCGCTCCCCAGTCCTCACTCTGGAACCAGGGCACCTTGAGGTGACTGTGTACCCCACTGGAAGAGAGAAGCTGCAGCCTATAGGGGGAGGGCACAGCTCATCTGGGGCCTCCTTATGCCAGCATCAGTGGCTGCAAGGGTCCCCAAGGAAACCACTGCCCTATGGGGGCAGCCCCAAGGCACAGCAGGATCTGGGGCATGGTCAGTGGAGCCCCTGAGCCAGCCCGGAAGTGATGGAAGAGCCACATGGAGGATCCAGTGAGGGCCTCAGGACACCGCGCCTGACAGCCCAGGCTCTCGCCGGCACTCGCACATGTGGTTGCCGTACATCCCATTCGCATGTCCCATTCCAGCAAGACTTCTCTGGGCTGAAAGTAACAGGTAACCCACTAGCCGTGACTTAAACAGGTGGGGTTTATTAGACTGTGAGCTCTGGAGGTAGGTGACTGGAGACACTGGTTTAGCAGCTGCAGGATGTCTGGTCAGGGGCAGCAAGAGCACCAGCCTCACTGCCCACCGAGGAAGAATGCTGCAGGGGACCCAAGCGTCCTGGTGGACTGCCACTGACCTTTCACTGACCAGGACTCTTAGTCACATGCCATTCCTGGACCAATCATTGGATTGGCTTGTGCCTGGCTCAGACTGGGTCAGGGAGAGGCTGTACCTGCTAGTCAATGGGCCTCTGCCCAACACTGGAAAAGCGGGGGTCTATTAGTAGGGAAGTGGATGCTGCCCTCGAGCACCCGAGGCAAGCCTGAGGGACCACATGGGGCCTGTGTGGACCTGCCATGAGCACACACACAAGGTGACTGACTACAAGGCCTACACACTGCTGCTGTGGGTACAGATGGGCAGTCAGGAGTCCTCTCTGCAGAGCCACTGACAGAGCATGCTGGCCCCACAGAGGACAGCCAGGCCAGCACGCCAGGGCTGAGGGCTGAGGGCTGCTGGGTGGCGAGGAGGGCAGGCCTCAGGGGGTACAGGGCCTCTAAGGAGTTTGAACTTAATTCTGAGCACCATGGGCAGCTGCAGAGTTTTGAGCAGGGATGGAACCAACCCTGAGGTATGCCTTTGTCTGCTGGGTGGAGAGGCCAGGAAATGTGTGGGGAGGCGGAAAATGCGGAGCTTTGGAAGGCGCAGAGGCAGAGCTTGGGGAGCTATCTCAGGAGCTTATCTCCCCTTGTTCCCACCTGGAATGTGCTGATCATCACCTGCTTTCAGACAGGTTTCTGCTAAGAGCCCCAGTGCCCTAGTTCTAGTGCCTCCAGGAATGTGTCTTCCAGGGAGGTGCTCCTGGGTGTTCTGCAACTTCAGGGTCTTCTGTCTACCATGCCCTCACACCCACCCCACCCTGTTCCTGTCACTTACTAAAGCACTTACTATGGCTTCCGTGAAGGGACACGCTCACACTCAGGAACCAAGCTTGCACTGACACACAATCACAGCGGTGGTGGGGCAGCTCCCGAAGCCAGGATGCCTGGGTTCAGATCCCTGCCCAACCTCTTACAGCTGGGTGACCTCAGACAAATCGCTGGATCACTCCATGCCTCAGTTTCCTCATTTGTAACATAGGTAGAACAGCACCTACCTCGGGGTTATCACAAGGATTAGATGAATTATCACACCTATGAGTACCAGCTGGTGTTATTAGCGTCATCAGGTACAAAGCACCTCTGCACGCCCGCACACAGCAGTGAACCATGCCATGCTTGGGTCGGGCGAGGCGCCCCGGGCTGGCCTGCACCTGTGCTCTCAGGCCTGGGGCTCTGGGCAGTGGCAGCAGGATGGCCGGGGGGTGCAGCCAGGCTGACAGCAGATCTGCAGGGCAGGGTCCTCACCCCGGGCCATCTGGCTGGGGCTGAAGGTCACAGAAGCATCAAACTGGGCCTTGAGCAGCTGAAGTTGCTTCAGCGCCTGCATTGCCTCTGGGGCGACCTCAGCCAAGCCTCCCAGAAGGTTGTAGTTCTCACCAGGGTCCTCAGACAGGTCAAAGAGCAGCGGGGGCTCATGGGCAGTCAGAGGGCTGGAGGCGTGGCAGGCTGGGTCTGGCGTGGTATCGCTGTGGACAGAGCCTGGAGAGGGGGTGCACGTCTGTGCAAAGGGCAAGAAGAGGAGGAGGGCCCGGGCGCTGGGGCTACAAGAAGGTCAGCAGGGCCGGGGTGAGGAAGTTACCCTGGGTGAAGAAGTGAGCTTTGTACTTTCCCCTCCGCACAGCAAAGACCCCATGGACCTCGTCTGGGTAGGCCGAATAGAAGAAGAGAGACTGCCGGGGGCTCTGGGGGCAAAGTCAGGGATCACAGGGTGGGCGGGGGTCCCCCAGCACTTATCTGCATGTACCCGGAGCCATTGGCCTTGTGTCAGGCCCTGGATATGGACTGCTCCTTGCCCACCCAGGAGCCCCAATGGCAACACCATTTGGATGCCACTCCACAGAGGCTCTGTGGGCTGGAGCAGGAGAGCCAGGGTCTCAGGGTTGTGAGCCCTACCTTGCCTGTGCCCAGCAGCAGGGGGCTGAGGTCAACACCATCCAACGTGACGTTGGGCAGCGGAGCCCCTGTCAGGGCTGCCAGGGTGGGCAGCAGGTCTAGGGAGCTGGCCAGTTCATGGGTCACCCCTGGAGGCAGAAGGCTGTGTGATCACTCCATTGGCCATCAGGGCTGGGGAGGTGGGGCCAGGGGTTCATGAGGGGAGGGACTGAAGACTGACCAGGAGCGATGTGACCTGGCCAGAAGGCCAAGGCAGGCTCTCGGACACCTCCCTCAAAGGTGGTTCCCTTTCCACAACGAAGAAGGCCAGAGCAGCCACCATGGGACATCCTCATGGTCTCAGGCCTGGGACATACAAGGAAGTCGTCAGTGAGGCTCAGGGTGAACTCCGGTGACCCCGCCCCAGAGTTACATGCTGCACACAAAAACGGCCAGCACATGCCTGTCCCCTCTGGGTCCCTCCATGTCCTTGTGACCCCCAGCCTCCCTCATGCCCTGCGGGTCACCAGAACATAGCCAGCATCTCTCCAGATACCCTTAGCCCATATGTCCTCGGCCAGTAGTCAGGATGGGAAGATCCCAGTGACCCGCTGGTGAGGCATCAACCAGCGTTTCCCCGCCCCCTGCCACAGCAAACCCGTTGTCTGCAGTGAAGATGACCAGCGTCTCTCCAAGCAGCCCCAGGTCCCCCACAGCTGTCATCAGGGCTCCCACAGCTGCATCCAGCTCCATCAGGGAGTCCCCAAATGGCCCTCGGCCTGAGCGCCCAGAGAAGCTCTGCCCACTGAACTGGGGGTAGTGGGTGTGCTGTGGGCAGAGACAGGGGTTAGCGCTGGGTAGGAGTCAAGGGCAGCTCAGGGGACAGGGCCAAGGGCACTCACGTGAGAGGCGTAGTACAGGAAAAATGGCCGGCCCTGGCGCTGGGCATCAGCCATGAGGTCACGGGCGAAAGCCACATAGCGGGCCTCAAGTCCTGGCAGCCAGGGGGGCTGTGCCTCCACGGACAGGTTGGCCAACAGTGGGACAGGGACCAGGCCCTGGTCACAGCTGCCATCACAGGGGGTGGACGGCGGAAAGCAGGTCAGGTTCTGGCAAGGGCCCTGGTGGAGCAGTTCCATTCAGGAGTCTGGGCTGGGGGGGGGGGGGGGGGCTCAAGGGGTCAAGGGGAAGGGGAGTGGTGGGAGGTGAGGAGGAGGGTGGCTGAGGGCCCTGGAGGTTCCTACCTGGTCATGGGAGTATGGGATGCCCAGGAATCGATGGAAGCCCTGGTGGGGGGGCAGAAAGGCCCCCTCAGGCCCCACCCCAAGGTGCCACTTGCCAGCTATCCCTGTTAGGTAGCCTCGGGCAGCCAGGACCTCAGCCAGGGTCACCTCCTCCAGGGGCAGGCCCCCTCGGGAGCTGGGCTCCAGAACCCCAGGGTACAGGCCCATTCGAACTGGCAGTCGGCCGGTCAGGAGCGCAGCCCTATAGGACAAGTCACAAGAGTCCGTGAGACAGAGAGAAACTAAGGCTGAAGTGGACACATGGAGGAGGGAAGAGAGGGGAGGAAGACAGAGAAACATGACCTTCTCCAAAGAGACAGAGCATTTGCCTCCCCCACTGGAGCCCAGAGTGAATCTGGGAGACGCTGTTTGGGCTCCCCTGCCTCCTCACTTACCGGGAGGGTGTGCACAGAGACATGGGCACATAGAAGTCGGTGAAGCGCAGCCCCCCTGCAGCCAGCTGGTCCAGGTTAGGGGTGGTGGAGCTGGGGTGCCCATAGGAGCCCAGGTCCCCATAGCCCAGGTCATCAGCAAAGATCAGCACGATGTTAGGTGGGCCAGCAGTGGCCAGGCCTATGGCCAAGGCCAGAGCGAGGGCCCACAGTGCCACCATGGCACACAGCACAGATGGGGATGGCACAAGAGACCCTTGGGAGGGAAAGCAAACTGGCTCCAGCAAGGTCTACCTCAGGGGCTCCAGATCCAAGCACTATCTTCTGCTGAGACCACAGATCCAGGTACTATCCTCCCCTGAGACCCCAAATCCAGGTGCTACCCTCCCCCGAGACCCCAAATCCAGGCAGCATCCTCCCGAGACCCCAAATCCAGGTACTACCCTCCCCCGAGACCCCAAATCCAGGCACTATCCTCCCGAGACCCCAGATCCAGACACTACCCTCCTCTGAGACCCCAAATCCAGTCTCTACATCTCCCCTGAGACCCCAAATCCAGGCACTACCCTCCCCTGAGAGCCCAAATCCAGGCACTATCCTCCCGAGACCCCAAATCCAGGCACTATCCTCCCGAGACCCCAGATCCAGACACTACCCTCCTCTGAGACCCCAAATCCAGTCTCTACCTCTCCCCTGAGACACCAGACCCAGGCACTACCCCCTTCTTGAGACCCCAGACCCCAACACTCCCCGACCCAGACAACCCCTTCCTGAAGTCCCAGTGGACTTCAGGGGACTTCCGGAGACCCCTGACCCCAACAGAACCCAGGAGACCGTAGCCTGGGATATAACTCCCTGGAGACCCTCGGGGACCAGGACACCTGATTTGGGCGATCTGACCCTCTTCACCTAGAGGTTGGAGCTCAGGCTCGTAGTCAGGGACAGAAGTCACATGACACTGACCCCCGGGTCCGGCGCGGCTGGACGAGGGCAGTACCGGGCCGAGGGCAGTACCGGGCTGAGGAGGGGCGGGTCGGGGACAGCGCGCAGCGGTGCCCTCCGCGGGCGCTTCCGCCTCGGCTCCGCCCCGCCCCCGTCCCCGCCCCGCGGTCCCGTGACCCTCCGCGCGCGGCAGCCCGGGGCGGGGCTCGAGGGGTGGGGCCTCGCGCGGGGGCGGGGCCTGCTCGGGCGCGGAATGGGTTGGGGTTGGGCTTGGGGTCGGGGTCCGGGGGCCCGGGAGTCCGCGGGTGCGGGGGTGGGGGGGCGCGCGGTCGGCGCCGCTTCGCATCCCGAGGCCGTTGGAGGGACTGGCGCGGGCCGGGCTGGGCCGGCGCGCGGAGTCGGGCGGGGCTCCCAAACCTCAAGCTGGGAGACTCGGGTCCTTTTGGAAAGGCCCTGAGCGCAAGGGGGTGTTGTGGGCATCGTCGCTGGGTGAGCCACGCAGAACGAAGGCCTTGGAACCCACTGACTGCTGGCTTTTCCCCCAACGTTACTTCCGGCGCTTTTCTCAAACACGAGATAGTAAATTCTTTCAAACCCTTTCCCCTCCGTGCACGTGTCTGTGTGTCAATGTGTGTGTGTGTGTGTGTCAGTGCGCGTGTGTGTCAGTGTGCGTGTGCTTGTCTGGGTATATGGGGTCTGGCCTGCCTTGGGGTTACACAATGGGAAGAACCCACTGGCAGAGGAGATGAGTAAGCTCTGGCTCCATCACCTGATAACCTCGGACAGATGCTTTTACCTTTTTGCTCCCCAGTTGGTTTAGCCATCTCCAAATCAGAGGGAGAGCCCAGGAGGACGCTTAGGTGGGTGTTTTACTCAGTGCAGTAACTGGGGCCCTCAGCCAGCAGCTCCCTTAGGGCAGCTCCCCCCACCCCAGGAAACTCTCTAGGGCAGCTTTCTGGCCTCGGTTTCTCCCACAAGCTCAGGGCATCCCTCTGGGACCTCTGACCTCAGGAAGACCAGGACCTGGGTTTCTGGTTGGGGAGGTTTTCTGTGGCTCCTGAGCCTGGCACCCATGGGAGAGTGGACGGCACCCATGGGAGAGTGGACAGCACCCTGAATGGCCTCTGGGGACTGGGGTGGGGGACCAGGACACAGCTTCCACTGAAGCCCAGTCCGGGCTGGGGAGCTGGTATTTTCCTTATGAAACATGAAAGCTCAAGACAAGAGGGAGTGTGGGGGAGCAAAATTCCAAGGGCAGGAACTCTCAGAGATGGGGCTCAGGGTTGTGGTCAAGGCTTGTTGCTGACCGTGTGGGGAGCACAAGGGGTCCAGTCTCTGGCAACCCATCCCCTTGGTGGCACATTCCACGGTGGTTTCTGGGCCTTTGCGTGGGAGTGGTATGGGGTTGAGTGGCCAGAACAGGAAGTTTTTCCATGGCCCAGAAATCTTTGAACCTGTAATTGGAGCTATCACAGCTGGTCGGCGCTATGAATTGGAGTTTAAAAGGAGTCCACCAAAAGCACTTTCTTCCCTTTCAGCAGCAAGCTGGAAACTACCCCAGGCATCCGAGGACCTGCCCTGATTCTTGGGAAGAGCCTGCCTGTGGTTGTAATGTTATGCAAATGATTGGCATCCTCCCCTGCGGTTCCTGAAGGCTGCTCAGGTGTATGCACACGGGACAGCGGAGCCAGCCCAGCCCTGACCTCTAGGTGGGGGAAGGTCCGTGTGCTGCCAGCTATGTTTGTTCAAAGCCAAGCCTCGGCAGGCGTCTGAGTCTTTTGGAGATGTGAGTTCTTTCTTGGCATTGCTGCAGAAGCTGGCAGGAGGGTCAGCTTGGGATAGAGCCCTGATGGGAGGCAGCCTGCCAGCGTGCATGATGCGGCTCTGGACGCCTGGGACATTGCTAATTTGGAACTGACGCCCACAGTTAGGAGAGGGGCCTTGCAGTGAGAGGTGCTGGTCTTGTCTTTCTGTACCTAGGACAAGGGAGGAGAGGCCTCTGTCTCTTGGGCCTGCGTGGGGTGGGTGGGTGGGGGGTGAGTGCCTTCAGCGAGAACACCCAGCCCACATGAAGGGATTCTGCAGGGGTTCCTGGGACTGGCTGATGTGGGGACCCAGGACATCAGATGCCATCGGTGCAGGCCTTCAACTCCTCCCTTGTTGCCCTCAGCAACGATTGTTCCTGTTCCTTGACCTGGCCCACCCAGGTTGTATTTCCTCTCCCACAGCCACCCTGATGTGGTGTGGTTGGCCCCAGTTCCAGAAGGGCACTGCTGGTGGGTGCATGTCTCAACCAAGGGAGGGAGGTTTGCTTGACCAAACTTTAGTCAGACTCCTCAACCTTCTCCTAGGCCCATCTGTGCACTTCCTTGTAAATCCCAGTTTTAGCAAGAACCCTCCGCCCTCAATGTCCAATCAGGTTCTTTCTCTCTTTCTTTCTTTCTTTCTTTTTTTTTTAAAGATTTTATCTACTTATTTGGAGGAAGGGGGACAGAGGGAGAAGCAGACTCCCCACTGAGCAGGGAGCCTGACATGGGGCTCCATCCCAGGACCCCAGGATCATGACCTGAGCCGAAGGCAGATGCTTAACTGACTCGGCCACCCAGGGGTGGGTGTCCCTTGATCCCCCTACCACCCCCAGCTGATGTCTGATCACCTGGCCTGTCCTTGGCCAGAATCCTGGTAGGTTGGTTTGGCCAGAAGCCCCCTCACCACTGATGTTTTTTTCTTAGTGAAAAAGTCAGTTTTTTCCACTGACCCCCACTTGCTGCTTGGCTAGTATAGGTCAAGTTTTCCTTGACCCTCATAGGGTCCCTGGCTGGGTCTGAAAAACTGACAAAAATTAACAGGAGAAAGCCCACACATTTGTTTTACTTTATAAGTTTTACCTGACATGGGAAACTTCGTAAGGAAATGACCCAAAGAAACAGTTAAACCTCAGTATTTTATGCTAGGTTTGATGGGGACTGGACAGCTGTGGAAGAATATGGCAGGTTAAAGAGTAAGAGGTTAGTGAAGTCAACTGGGGAAGATTAGTGAGCCCAGTTTGTTGGGATTCTTCCCTTTGTCTTTGGCACAAGGATGCTCCTGTTCTCTGGGGATAGGGAGGGTACCTCTCACAGGAGGGTTTGATGATCTGTTTCAGGGGACAAGGGAGGGGGAGGTCAGAGTGACCTTCCTGCTTCTGCTGTTTTCTCAAACTACTTCAGCTTAAAATATTTGGCATGCGAGGTGTCATATTTTGGGCAGCATGTTCTGAACCCTATCACTATAGATGCTCACTTGCCCTGCTGTGATCAGAATTGAGCCCACACCACAAAACTCCATCACCATGGTCTGTGTACCTACTGTGATGGTCCTGAATAAATCGCGCCTTACTGTTTTAACTGGTTAAATGTATGCTTTTCTAAAAATTCTGGTTAGTTGACATACAGTGTTGTATTGGTCTCTGGAGCACAACATCATGATTCAGCAGTTCCACGCATCCCTCACTGTTCATCGTGGTCAGTGTCCTCCTAACCCCCATTACCTATTTCACCCCATCCCCTCTTCTAGCCATCTGTTTGTTCTCTATAGTTAGCAGTCTGTTTCTTGGTTTGTCTCTTTTCTTGTTTGTTTGTTTTGTTTCTTAAATTCCACATATGAGTGAAATCATATGATATTTGTCTTTCTCTGACTTCTTTCACTTAGCATCATAATATGTAGCTCCATCCATGTCATTGCAAATGGCAAGATTTCATTATTTTTGATTGCTGAATAATATTCCATTATATATATATACACCACTTCTTGTTTATCTATTCATCAGTCAATTGACATTTGGGCTGCTTCCATAATTTGGCTATTGTAAATAATGTTGCATTAAACACAGGGTGCATATATCTTTTTGAATTAGTGTTTTCGTATTCTTTGGGTAAATATCCACTAGTGGAATTACTGGATCACAGGGTAGCTCTATTTTTAACATTTTGAAGAAACTCCGTACTGTTTTCCAGAGTGGCTGCACCAGTTTGCATTCCCACCAACTGCCCTACCATTTTAACAAGTGTTGTGAATAATTCTTTCTTTAACAAGATGCTGACTGGGAGGCTCTCGCTCATCCATTGGAATGGAGAGGACGATGGGAGGGGTCCCAGAAAGGGGGAGCAGTTCCGAGCAGATAGGAGATTTCCTGCCCAGGAGTGCTGTGGCCGGTGTGAAGTGGTTTGCCTCTGGGTACCGCTGTCCCTCTGCCCCCTGCCCCACTCACTGCAGATCAGTAGGGATCCTCTAGCTCCAGGCCTCTGAGCTTGCTGATCCCTATCTGAAATTCTTGACCTTATATCAGCCTGGCTAGCTCCCCACCTCCTTCAGGTCCACTGGGACGTCACTCTCTCAGTGAGGCCTTCCTTGGTGTTCAAGCGCCCTCTCCCACCCCTCTGTCCAGTTGTGAGCTGCTGCCCTTGTGCTCACAAGGAGGGGGCACAAACTAGTTGACATAAGCAAGGCTTAGCCTTGGCTGGCATGTGGCAAGTCCGTACTATTATTCTTACCATTATTGTCATCATACGGTGGTGCCGGGCCAGGACCATGAGGATTTCCAGACAGGGAGGGTCTTCCACAGGGGGCTAGGGAAGATAGGGCTTACCTGGGTGACAACAAGGTGGAGAGATAAAACTTGTCAGTTGAGTTACCAGCAGGGGTCAAGTTTGTCAAGTTTTATTTAATCTTTTTTTTTTTTAAGATTTTATTGATTTATTTGAGAGAGAGAATGAGAGAGAGCACATGAGAGGGGGGAGGGTCAGAGGGAGAAGCAGACTCCCCAGCGAGCAGGGAGCCCGATGCGGGACTCGATCCAGGGACTCCAGGATCATGACCTGAGCCGAAGGCAGTCGCTTAACCAACTGAGCCACCCAGGCGCCCTTTATTTAATCTTGTATGCAAGGGGAAAGCCTCTGAGAGACCACTTTAAAGATTCACCCCTGGCAGGAAGGAGAATCACTGTTAGTCTAGATACAAAACAACCTCTGGTTACAGATCACTTACCTGTGAATGACACTCAGCTGGGCGGTGACTGGTTCCCAAAACAGATTATGCCATCATTAAAGTTCATCAGATCATTGCATGTGTGTTTCATCAGGAATGCTAATTTCTGAAGCTCTGCCCAGACCAGGTGTGGGAC